AAATTAAAAGGTTGAGGAGATAAGGAAAATATCTTTTTATTTATTTTATTACTAAAAAGAAGAAACAAAAATCACTTGCCATAACGATTAACAAAACATTCTAGGAAAGAAATTTATTATGGATAGAAACTAAATAATAAAAATAAAATAATGAAATAAAAAGCTTGTTAAACTTAATACAGGCTGCGGATCAAATATTAGTTGACCTTCTTTATTACTTTACGAATAGATGTTTCTTCATATTGTGTGTGTTTTTATTCTAATTTAATGCAAGCCACAGGTTTGGAATATGATTAATTATAGCCACCCCTCCGATAAATATTCTTCTATGAGATATTCATATATTAATTAAATTTACTTAATCTAAATTATTTTTTAGTTAAAGTGATAGTTTATTATACTTAAAATTTCATTCAAAAAGAAAAAAAGGTTAGTATTTAGGTTTTTCTCAAATTCATCTTCAACGTTTAGAATTCTTTTTCAATTAATTTCCTATATATATCAGTAAATATTAAAAGAATAATATATACGAATTTCATAGAATTAGGGATGGTTAGAGGATACTATATTCTAATTGGTCAATTGTCTCTAGTAACAACTAATTTTGAGACAACCATCATAAATTAGTTCATTGATCTAAAAGGTCGACCGTAAATTCAAAGAATTGAGAGGGAATGAATTTTCAAACCGACGATCACTTGTCTAGAAATTAATCGTAAAAAAGTGTTAAAAATCCTTTTCCAAACGTATAAAATTAAAAAGGATCGTCTATTGGGCTAAATTTACATATTTAGGGAGAGAAAAAATACTCCCACTAAAAAAATGATTTTTTTTCATCAAACAATGAAAATATATATTCCAAAACGATAAACAAATAAGATTAGATTTGGGTTAGGATTTTTGTAGTGGAATCTTATGTTTCTTAGCTTGTAAGAGAACAAAGACATATTCCCACAAGTGAGGATTTTAGAAGGTGTATGTGCTTCCTCCTCATCTCAAACTGCACGAACAGAGATGAATTCTGAGAAAGCCAATTCCAAGAGTTTCGACCTCGGCTGCAGTGACGGTGGCAATAATCAGCCCCCGACGAAGTCCGAGAAGATCGGGAACCCGAAGGGCAGCTCGAGTAATCTGGGGAAGGTTTTGGCAGAGAGAGCAGTGTATGGACCTCAACAGCGGACAAGAAGAAGAAAAAACTTCATCCATGGCGTTAGGCTGCTGCTGCCCAGTAGGCTGAGCAAAGTTTCTTTAGCTGATAGCTCCTCATCCTCTGGCTAGATAGATACCAAACTTGTAATCTCTAAAAACTTTACCGTAATATTTGTCACTAACTAAAATGTGAGTTTAAATTTGTATCTGTATTTAATTGTTTGTTTACAATATGATATACGTTTGTATAATATATATAGTGTCTGTTTGTATAATATATATATATGGGTAACAGGTAAATTTTAGCCTTTTAACATCTTGAGGTATGAGCGTGATATTTATTGGGTCAAATAGTCTTTTTAGTTAACGTTGACCATTAATTAATTGACTAATACAAATTTTTGTGACATTGCTTAAGTGGCAATTTTTAAACGATGGGTCAATTAATTTTATATTGTTTTATCTCATGTGGCATTTTTTTCTTTATTTTCTCCTCTCGTCTCCTTTGTTGATCTCTCCCCAACCTCCATTCTTCTTCTCCTCAGGCAGGTGGCGCTGCCACGTCAATCTTCCTTTTATTCCATTTCTAATTTTTCACCCCTCATTTGGTGTACATAAATAAAAAAGGCTGGGCTTAGCTTGAGTCAACCATACATTTCTACCACTTTAACTGCAACACTTATCTTATGATGAAATTATTTCATTGGTAAAAAATTTAATTAACAGCATTTTTATTTTTAACTTTTTGAAATGTTTTATTGTATTATAGGATGTCATAAGTATGGCATGACATTTTTTCAAGGCAGTCAATTACAAATTTTATATAAAACTTAATTATTTATTTATCATTTTACTCTCACCCTCTCCACCTTTTTTTTTTCAGAAGGATCTATGTTTTGATGCATGCACCACAAAATGCCAATAATAAAAGTAACTAGTAAGTCCAAGCTTTTAAAAATACTTAATTTGAAATTGTTTAGACTTTTTTCCCATGACAATTTTATTTTTAATATTTATTTTCTAAAAAATTAACCAAGCATTCAAATCTAAAATTTTCTTTGTTTGGATATTTTCGCACTTAACCACATTTCAAAACAAAAAACACATCATCTTAACCCAACTTCTCAATAAATACAATTTTTAAAACTAAAAAGGTATCAAATAAATTTTATCTTATCCTCCGACAATAGCACAGTTAAACGATTAAGACATCTCTACACGTTTTAGGTCGTAGGTTTAAATCCCAACAACCAACTAGCATTTGAAAATTCTAACTCTCGCTACACTGAATCAAGATATCTATCGTCAGGAATCTCGATCGCCTCCCCATAACCAAGATGAAATATCTTGAAGCTCCCATTGGTCCAAAATTTCTTCGACAGATCCAACATCTTCCCAAGCCCAATTCAGGCATTGCTCATTTTCCAAAGCTGAATTCATTGAAGAGGAACATGACCCATTCTGATGATGATCTTCATTATCAGTACTACTTGTCATCACTTTTGTTTGATCACTACATAAATTCCCACTTGATTCCACCACTCCCCATTCAAGAATTTCATTATTGAGTCTCATTATTTCACCATCTAGCCAATCATATGGTCCCCAATTCTCCCCATGCTCCATTATGGGGCTCAAAACCACTTCATTATTTCCCAATAATAATGCCTTTCCATCATCTTCTTCTTTGTGTAATTCTGACCTCAACACTTCTCTTTCTCCTTCTTCCTCTTCCTCTTCCTCTTCCTCTTTCTCCATATGATCAGGAGTAGGGATTGTTGTTTTCCCTGCTTTCCGATCTGTGGTGCATCGTCTTCGCTTGGTCGTAGGAGCGATGTCGAGGATGGCAGTGACAACAGACGAAGGAGCGGATGATGACTTGTCGGATGTCGGCCATGTCACAGTGTAGATTTTTCTACTCAGATGGGAATTCCAGTAGTTCTTTATTTCGTTGTCCGTTCGGCCAGGCAAATGTCCCGCTATTAAAGACCACCTGAAAAATGAAATCAAATCCAAAGACCCTAATATACACCCGTGAACCAACATCAAGAACCAACATCATTTCTTTGATACGTGACAAAAAATAATAATAAAAGAGGAAATCAACCAAAAGGGAAGAACATAGAAGTGATTGACAAGATAATCCTAAGGGCCACCAAATTTTAACTCATAAGTTGGACATATTAAATTTCTTTTAGCTAGGGAGACAAGATTATCGACATTAAAATAAAATAAAAACTAGGGACCGTTCAAGTGGTGGAGTGGAGTTGATTTAGAAAGTCTACTCCGTGTTAAATAAGGAATTAATAACTCACAATCTTTTGATTATAGATATATGTTAATTATCACTGAAATATGTTCGTTTTGACATCTTCTATCTCTCTTCAATTTCTTTGTTCCTCATAAAATCACATATATTTGGTAGGTCCCACGTCCTCTCAAATTTAGTAGGTCCCAACATTTTTCTCTCTTCTATAAATTTGGTGGGTCCCATGATTTCTCTCCCTTTTTGTTTTATTATTTTAGTGAGTTTTACCATTTTCTCTCTTCTTTTTATTCTAACCCTTCACTAATCTCCTATCTTATTTTCCCATTTTCAATTATTAATTTTTTTTCAGTTTCAGTTTCAACTCCCTACATACTCACAATTATATATATTAAAATTTTCTATACTATAATACAAATATATTTTTTAATTCATAGGGATATATAATTTTCAATTATTATTGAAAAATATAGATTCATATGGATTATAATTCAATTGTATGTATACCTATTTTTTTAAGATATTGTATACGTAGTTATGTCTTGATATAAAATAAATTTAAAAATATCAAACTTAAATAATTAAATTTAAAGATTTGATGTAATCAAAGTAATTAAATACTTAAATTTAATTTTAATTCCTTAGTGACTTTTTTAATTATCGTTCTCTCTCTTCCTCAATGTTAAACATGATAGTGTCCAAAAATATATGATTTTAGACAATTGATTTTAAAATAAGAATGATAATTTATTTTGAATTATATTAAAACAAATATACTTAATTTCAAGCAAACAAATATTAAAGTAAAATAATGTATTCATTTTTCAAATTAGTCATATTCAAAGAAATAAATAAATTGTATTGTATTTTGAACTTATTCAAATAAAATCATATTCAAAGAAGTGTTTCATTTCTAAATTAGACACACTCAAAAATAGTAAATATAGATGTTTTTTAGTACACCAAATATAGATATATAATATTCATTTTGAACTTATTCAAGTAAAATGATATAAATATGTAATATTTTATTTGAAATATAGTGAATTTAAAAGGTATTTTATTTTCAAGGTAATCAAATTAAAATAACAAAAGAATATGGAATAAATAAAATAATTTACTTAAATAAAATTCTAAGATTATCCAATAAAAATAAAGAGAATAAACAATATATAATAGTAATTATAATTTATAACTCATTTTACGTTTAAAATATTTCATAAAACAATATAACTTAAAATTTCAATTTTAATTGTTCGAAAACAAATTCAAATAGAAATCAATTTTAATTCGAAAGTTTATTAGAATCTAACTCTAATTTTACCTTTCCAAAAAAGATTAGCCCGCCAATATAGACTTCAAAACTTGAGGCTAAGAAACTTTGTAACTTGAACACGAATTAAACAACCTCAGACTAATTAACTTCTCAAAGATAACAACTTCGAGTTTTAACAACTCCACCATATAGCTTCAACACCCTAGAATATTTTGGTTTTGGGATTTTAAAATTGTAGTCCGAGCTCAATATTAAGTATATTAATTACTAGGAAAAAGATTAATCTTACAGTTGGAGATCAAGATACAAATGAAACAAAGAGAAGTCAATGGTAGCGAAACTAAAACAAACAACGAAAAGAACACAAGACAAAATGAAACAAAGAGAAGTCAATGGTAGCGAAACTAAAACAAACAACGAAAAGAACACAAGACAACGTGTCTCATAAATGAAACATAACATAACAACTGAATAAAAACAAATACCTGTTGCCAAAAACATTATGCAGCTTTACAATCATTTGTTCATCCTCACTGGTGATGTTCCCTCTCTTCAAGTCTGTCCTTAGATAGTTAATCCATCTCAATCTGCAGCTCTTTCCACACCTTAGCAATCCTTTAATATGTAACACCATAGAGATGTCTCAAAACATATCCAAAGAGGAAAGAAATAGCGGCATTTGATAACCATTTTATTTTAAAATTTTTTGTTTTTCAAAATTATTGTCTCATCATTTCTACCTTTTCTTAAGAACATGAAAAATAAATCTTAAAAAAAAAAACTTAATTTTGATTTTGAAAACCAGATAACAAAACAAAGAAACGTGGAAGTACAGTGTCTATAAACTTGATTTTAAAAAATTAAAAAACTAAAGCCAAAATAGTTATTAAATGGATGTTTAAAGAATTGTTTGGAATATCGTTAAACTGTCATTCTCTGACTCTCTTTCTTTCGACTAATTAAAATTTTTCTTGATACACAAAACATGTATGAAATCATAGTAAGTGTTTAATAACAACTTTTGTTATGGATTTCACATTAAAAAAGATAAGAGATCAAAAGGTTTATAGTATAAAACTCATCTAAAAAAAATAGGTAAAACTCAAATGTGACTAGAATCCAGTTATATTTCGGTTAACAAAACAAACGTAAGTCATTACTTTGGAAAAAAAGAGTAAAAATTTATGACATTTTTTAAAGTAAGTATAAAATTTACGCCATGGAATGAAATTTTTCAAAGAAAAAACACGCGCAACTAAGAATCAATAACACAGTTTTTCAACTGAAATGATCAATGTCACACTCAACAAGGAGCACCGAATCAAAAAAGAAAACACATCTATTTGGTTCGAGTTCGTTGTTAACGTAATAATCATATACAAAGAAGAGAAAGTGAAGATGATGACCTGCATTTTTGGGTAAAGATCTCCAAGAGCCTTCTCCATTGGCTTGGATATACTTGGTCAAAATCTCATCTTCTTCAGCTGTCCATCTTCCCTTTTTCAGCCCCACTTTTTCACAACAAGGAGCTCTCACCATGGCTCCAAAAAACACAGAGATCACAGCAACAACACAACAACAATGGCGACAAGATCAAACAACTCTTAATTTGGCTAACCTAATATTGAAGATGTTGTGTAGAATAATTGTAGAGAGAGAGAGAGGAGTGGCACTGGCATTTGGGGAGGTTTCATGAGTTATAGGGTTTGGATTATTGAAGGGGCAAAAGCAAACTGAACGTTGTTTAATTTCTCTTCTCCCCACTTGTTTGTTTCACCCATATGGATCCACAAGCCATAATTGCCACAACTGTGAGGGGAGAGTCGCCATTGCACTTAATGACTTTTCAGGCTCAAAAAACAAAGGGGAAAAGGGGGAAAAGAAAGCTTCAATTTATGGTTGGCATTGATTGTTATTTTTTCTTTAGGGTACGTGGGTAGCGATTGAACTTATAACCTCTTAATTGGAGATATATATCAATAATTACTGTTTAATTATGCTTGCTTTGACATAACTTGATTGATTAAGATATTGATAATATCTTTTTTAAAGAGATTATAAATTTGAAATCTCCTCTTCTAGTATTTATTTGAACTTGAAAAGAAAAAAAGAAATGGGTTACAAATGAGAAATGATTCGAGGGGTTCAAATAGTGTGATTGTGGCGATTTGTATACCGTTAGATGAGAAAACAATGTGGCTGATGAATTTATGACGTTAGATGGTAAGAGGAATAAAATTAAAATGGTATTTTTAACATGAACAGCCACATTGAATAATTTTTTGTTTTTTTGTTTTTTTGGTACAAAGACCTGTGAAAAGGCACATATGTAGTAATTATAAATTTTGGTTTCGGACGCACATGCATAAGTGTATTACAACGGTACCCTAATCATCTCCACAATTGTATGATATTTTCTGCTTTAAGCATAATGTCATAACGACTTTGCTTTTGGTTTTACCCAAAATGCCTCAACTAGTGGATATTATTGTCCCACAAAATATATACTCATGATCTTCTACTTATTTAGCCAATGTAGGATTTTGGTCACATTCCCAACCTATGTCTTAGGGTTTATACTTTTATTGGGAAAATTAATGAATTCGCAGATTAGTTTAGATGTATTTAAAGCATTGTGTGGTTCTCTTAGGTCGATATGCTAATTGAAGAAGGAAAAATAAAAGTGATACACATGATTGTATGCAACTTTTATTCATTTGAGAAAAAACGACAAGCATAAAAACAAACTATAGGAGATCGTAATGGAGAAGATCCACCGACTTGAAATAAAGAAAAATGTTAAGATGTTTTCTAGCAAATCTATCAATTAACCGTCTGATCCTACAACATTTGATACTGAAAACATATTGAAATTACTAATTATTTCTAAGATAAGAGGTCATCATGGGGTTTGAACTCATTCCTTTTTAATTAATCCTAGCTTCTTTAGACCAATAAGTCACCCATATGATGGTTAACTACTCCATCAACATAACTAACAGCTTACTTTAGATGTCACTTAAAAGAATAATAATGCATTTAACTCTTTGTTAGCTAGTTATTTATGGTATTAAAATTAGACTTTTAGTCGTCTTTACTAAAGAGTTTCATAGAGCAAAATATATTTTATTACCATATAGCAAAAGACTCATTGTCATATATCTCAAAAAAAAAGTTTTCATACGAGGGAGATGTCAATCTGAACATAATTCAAGTATGTCATTATGGTGTTGAGTTCAAAACAAAAAGAGAAACTAATAGTTTTTTTTTTGTTGAGTCATGTCATAAGGTCATCAATCCTTTGATCTCTACCCAAAATGGTGAAATTCCAAAAAAAAATAAAAAAATCATAGATTACAAGAGAACAATGTATAGAAAAAAAGATCTTTTAAAATAATTGTCATGATCATATGTGATGATATGATAGTATCCACTTGAGACATAAGTCTTTATAGCTTTACTTTTAATTTTACTCGAATTGTCTCGTACTAATGGAGATGTTTGTCGTCTATTTATATACGGTACCCATGAACTTTCTCCTTGTGTACCAATTTGGGACTTCCATTTCATTCTCAACAATCAAAATATCTGGAAACTACAGTAATTCATTAGAAAAATCCGAAAAAAAAAAACCATAGGATTAATGATACCAAGGATTATTTACTCAATAAAACAGCAGCCATATTATTTTCATTATAGTGCAGCCATCTTCACTAAATTCATAAGCATAAAACGAGCTAATGGCCTACTGGCAGCTCCTAGCTTGAAATATACATGCCCAAAAAATGGCTGAAAATTCTATGAGATTTGCTCTGAAAAAGCTACCAAAAGTGGAAAATCATAGAATCTCTGTTGCAAATATCTGAATCCTTACCAAACAATATTAAAGGGGAGGAAAAAAAATTTAAAAACTTTCAGAGATTGGAGTTAAAAAGAGACTGGTTTTTTTAGAAATCCCATCATGCAAAAAAGGTCTAAAAAATAATTGAGGGATTGAAACATTGGGGCCAATTAAATTACCTTCACAGGAACATTTAAGGCATATTCCTTTTCATACATTGAATGGTTTCACATGCATTGTTCGACTGGGAATGACCCATTGTACTGGCTAGCTGTGTGTGAGGTACGTTCTATTTGATATGGGAAAAAGTTTAGCATTTGGTAATTTATTTGGCTCATTTGTAATCTTGAAAGCCATTTCAATCGATAAACTTTCTTTCTCATTTATAAATCCGGGGCTCTCTTCGCTGTCAATACTGTTAAAGTACAGATAAAAATGTTACTGTTGAGGTCGAAATCTGGCTGGTCGATGTGTCCTTTGATCGGAGGCCGTCGGATAAGTTAACCTGCAACAACAGACCTCAATACCGGTGCGGTGCCCCACCTAATGTCCTCCCATGGTCAAGGTGATGGAGTTGGTTAGAAAGGACGTCTAGCATTGGCATGAGGTATGGTGGGGCCCACTAATCCACTCGCATGCTAGACTCAGCATCATTCCCTTCGTTAGTTTGTACGTACATCGAAAAGTCCTGTCATCCTAACCCATTTCCCTAACTAATGCGTGAGACTTTGTTTGCACTCCTTACAAATCCAACATTTTCCAGTTTCCAGCTTGTTTTTCACCCTCAACATTTATATTTACTAGAATTCATCATCTAAAAAATCTTTTGGTTTAATGATGGCTAGACATGGTATCAAAACTAGAGATCTTATATTTAAAATTTTGTAATGTTATCTCTTGTAGTACCTTTCAACGTAACTCGTTAGTTTAATCTTTTAGATTCAATGATAATTTAGTAAATACGCAAGGTTGAGATAATTATCCTTTAGTCTATAATTTGGTTTTTTAATAATAAATTTTTCCATAAACCTTGTGTATTGTACTTATTTATTTCCTTTGAACTTTATAGAAGTTTCTTCAACATTTTCAAGTTTTATATGAGCTTTCTATTTGATATATTTCATATTAACATATATCATAGATTTTATATTAACGTATATCATTAAACAATTGGCATGACATATATTTATCCAGTCTCATATTTGATGAACGCGTATCACGATCATGTTCAATCAAGAGTATTAACAACAATGGGATCAAATGGATACCATGTTCAAAATTCGAGGACTAAATTTAGTACATTTTATACACTAATTTAACATTTTTTTTCCTTCTTTTTTTATAACCCATATGGGATTATTACATGGCCAATGTTCCCCTCTTGGATCTTTGAGTTGGATTTTCAATCGACTAATGTAAGGGAAGAGTTGTTCTAATCATGAAGTGAAATATATAGTGACATGACATGTTCATATTTTTGTCAATATTTCATAAATAAAAGAGTATCATTAATATCTAAAGAGTCAATTTTTTCGTATATAGTATCAAGAAAAATGTTGATAAATTCTTATTAATGGATAAATTTAAATGGCCAAAACGAATAATAACTCACTAGTAATTAACATAATCTCCAACCAAGAAGTCGTAAGTTGAATTCTCACCTCACATGTTGTGTTAAAAAAATGGATAAATTTAAATGAATTTATTAATTTACATTATTTTTTCATAAATATTCATTAACATTAATAAGAATGTTTTCATCATATTTTAATTCTTTGGTGGGTTCTAATACCATTTCTTATTGATAAATCGATGACCTTCTCATATGCCAAACTAATTTTAACGTGGGGTTTCTCTAAGATGTATAAATATTACACGTGTAATGTATTTTTTTAAGTTAATTTAGAATTTAAAATAATAAATATTATTTTAATTTTCAGGTGCAGATTTGAGTTTTAAAATTATATAAAAAACAAATAAGTCTAAAAATAATTCTCTAACTATTACACCTTTTAATATGGTAAAAATTATAAAGATAAATTAACGGCATTATTAAAATTACCAATTCAAATTATCAGGATAAAATTGTCTAAAAATGATTATCAAACACTAATACAGTAATGAAGGGTAATGTTAAAAATTTTATTTTAATGTCATTTAACCATAAAGAGGTTAATGTAATGAATCGTACTTTTAGCACCAAATTGTGCTCATGATAATTGATGAAAATAATTATTGTATATAAATGGAGGTTTGATAAACACAAAAATTAAATGTAGTAATAAATAATGAAAATATCCAAACCATAATAATGAAAGAATGTACATACTTTACAATAACTACGTGAGATAATATAATTAAACCTTGCTAATATTAGCTTTTCCTAGATTGGTTTATTGACACTCTTAGGGCAGTTTGTTTTTTTGGGAACGACATCTTCAGATACCTAGAATCTCATATGCCTGGAATTTTAGATGTCCGGAATTTCAAATAACCACGTTTGTTTTGCAGGATTTATTCATTGGGAATATTGTAAATTTATGTAATGTTTCAAAAATGCCCTTAGCAGTCGTCATATAATTTATATGTTAAATTTAATATTATTTGAATTCTTAATTTAATATTATATTTTTATGTCAATTTTAGTTTATGTGGGTACTATTGGAAGAGTAAAATAAATGAAGGATTGCACCCTAAATTTGAATTAAAACAAATTAAGAATATGTTATACTATTAACTAATGTTTATTTTATATCTAAATGTAGTATATAAATAAAATTATATTTAGATATTTATCAATGAATTAGTGCATACATTTATTTTTAAAATAAGATAAAATAAATGAGAAATAAATAATATTGATGAAAAAATATTATAGAACAAAAACGATGAGGGACAAAATTGTCAAAAGAAGATGTCCTCAACACGGGAATCTGAGAAACTCATATTACAAGAGGGCATCTAAAATTGCTCAGATGTCTCCCGTATAAGCATCCTAGAATGCTCGGGCATCTAAGAATGTCCGAGAATCCAACATTCGTATCTAACAAATACGGGCATCTAGATGACCATCCCAAGATTCCCATGAAACAAACGGTCTCTTATTATTTTAAGTAGCAAAATTATTAGTACAGGATGTTGATAAGATTTTTGTTTCGTGTTTTTTGTTTTTGGTTTTTGGTTTATGGTTTTTTTATATTTTTTATTTGTTGCTTTTAAGAAAAGAGGAACAAAATTGTATTGTAACTCAATGTGTCTTTTGTTCTTCTTTGGCTTTTTTTTTTATTGAAAAAGTTGGAACAGTATTTTATAACTATTTCTAGTTTTCTACCCTCGAAATTATGTGTGTATATATATATATTTCTAGTTTTCTTGTTCTCCAAAATTTAAATTAGAAAGTATGAAATATTACTGAGAAACATTTCTTTTACTTAGTTTTTTAATAGCAAGAAAAAAAAAACATAATGTGATTTTCGGTGTGTTTGGTTGTTAATTCAAAAACAAAAATATGAAAATAAAGGATTCATTAAAATAAAGTTATATTACATGTTTGTGTTTGACCGCAGATTTGAGAATTGAATCTCAATTTAAAAAAAATATATTTTTTTTAGAAGGTTGAAAAAAATTGTTTATATATTAGCTCTATCACACATAAGACAACGATATGCATTCTCAAAAACTTTTTTTTTGTCGGAAGAAGCATTCTCAAGAACTTATTACTCAGCTTTTAATCACGATTTAGATCTTCCTCCGATGCTCAAACTGAAAGTTGACCTACACAAAACATGCATAGAGAGAGACTCCAATGCTCTAGTGAATCTATGTCCGATCTATTACTCAAAGAGAGAAATAGTATAACACACTTGGAAAGTAGAGCATGTCCCCTCTATTCATAACCTTTGATCCACATATTGTTTTGAAGAATGGTTAAGAGCAGTAAAGTGCAAAGTTGTGATCGTCAGCTCGTCCTTTATTAAGATCGACCATTAAGATCTATATTGGTTAGTCCAATCATTACGAAGATGTATTTATGCAATAAGTTATTATGGTGACGTACCATGCGACCAATGGTTCATTGACACGTGGCAGTCACTAAATTGTATCCAACATTCGGAGTTACGACCAAAGTCTAATTTTGAGCGACAACAATGTGAAATAACAATGAATTCACGTTTTCGAATAAAAGTAGCAAATCCATACACTCCGATTAATCTCAGATCTTTGCAAGAAATCCAACCTGCAAATCATATATATAATGACATTGAAAAGGAAGAAGAAAGCGACCAGTAGATCATTGCAAAAAGATGTACTGAATGAGAGGTCATTGTTGGGGTTTCTAAGCTAAGTTGGAAGCCTTTTTTTTTTCCCTTTTTGAAGTTGGAAGCTGTTGATGTCATCTCCAACCTGTCCCAAAAAGACAAAAATAAAGCACATGTCTCATTTATTTCACAACACAAAGGCTGGAAACTCAATTTCAAAGAAGAAATTCAATTTCTTTCCTCAAAAGGGGTTTAAATTTCACCTCAGTATAGCTGAAAAGATATTTGTGACATTACTCCATTAAATTGTAATATTCTCCAAAAGTAATAATGATAAAGACATAAACTTCAGTTAACACATTGTGAAGAGTGTTTATTACAGCGATTGAATACGTATTTGTGTCGATCGGATTGATATTATGTACATCTAAACAATAGAAAGGAGATCATGTAGGTAGGAGAATCCAAATAACTGACTTTTTTATAAAAAAGTTTACAGTCTATGATTGTGAAGAAGGTAGACCATGCTGAGTTAGACTTATCATAAGCTTTAAGATCTCGTCGGTTAAGAGTCGTAGTAGATAGACGATTCTACGTAGTGTTGCAGCCTTCATTTCTAGAGCTCACCAAGTCGGAGTAAACTTGACTGAAAAGCAAGCCAATTGACTCATGATGTCAAGACTTTCCGCGGTCTTGAAGAGACATCATCGAGTGAAACATACCAACTTCTGTTCAAGCCCAACAGATTCTCCTTCGCCTCGACGAGTAACTATCCCTGCAAAAATGCAATTAAAGAGAACTTTCATAAAGTTATGGTGAAAGAATTCAAGTTGCCGAGCAAATACAATAAATACAAAAACCCACTTGCAGAATGGCATTTAACCAAAATGGATCAATGCGGTGGTCCTGATTTAGCAAATAGACAAATATTCCAACAAGACCAAAGGAATGTCAGTTGCTAGCCATCAATACATTGAAACCTTTTTTCATCATCAACTTGATGCATAGGCATCGGCCCGATGACAAATTGCAGTCGCAGCCTTGATGGGTAGGTTGCTAATACGTAAAACTGATCGTGTAGATGGATAGATGACTACATTTTAAAATCGGGTTAATATGGAAGTATCCCAAAATACATTTTGCAACCAAGGTCATCTCCCTTTAACCTTTAAAATGGCTTCTGGATCATATACCTAGACCGTTAACAACGTACGACCTTTCATTAACATAAATGAAGACACGCAACACGGCCCCAGAAAGAGCAGTCGGACCAACACCAGGGCAAAATTTATTTAGAGAAAAAAGGAAGCCAGCTGTTGGTAGAAAAAGTGAATGACAACTACAAAAAGAAGTCTAGAAGTATGAAATCTTATAGAGGCATTAAAGCGGGCCAACTCTCAAACATCCATTAAGAATCCTCTACGTCTGAAAAGACCCTCTATTTCCTCTTTTTTTATAAGAAACAGCACTTTCATTGAGAAGACCCTCTATTTCCTTTCCAACCAAATACCCTACAAAAGTGCAAATAGACCACTTGCCAAAGAAGCACAGAGAATTTGTCCATTGTGTCATAACATCAAACCTCAAGACAAAAAGAACGTCTCCATACAACAAATGATTCAAATCTTCCCACGCCTGCTTATAGAGAACCTATCATTACACGTAGAAGCAGAAGAGCCACAAACAGATTCGATATTTCTACTAAGCACAACAAACCAGGAAAGGAAACTCACCTTTTCTCCCTTCCATTTTTGTGGGGTGAGACAAGGAAAGTGAAACCAGTTGAGTAAAAACATAAATTTGCAAGAGAAATAATTGCTAATCACCCCCCCAACATAAATAATAGAAGCTATTGAGCAATCTTTAGCAATCAATTAGTCCTTGAATTTGATTATGCCACAATCCTCTATATAGAAACTAAAGGAACCAGGAAGAGGCTTAGAGATTGCGAGTTATTAGAACCCTCATTAAAATCTAACCAATGGCCGATGGGGTTAACCTTCTATCTACTTAATCCAATCTCACAATGGCATGTGGTTTTAGAGAGGAGTCATAAACACCAACACAACCACTTGAACAAAACAAAAGGGCCTTAATCTCTGGTAATTCAAATTTTCAACCCACCCCCCTCAAGAGATCTTGACACTGACTTCCGACTGACTGAATGGGGACAACCCCTTTTCTTCTTTTGTTTAATGACTACTTAACAATCAGCTTCTATTGTTTAATGACTACTTAAAGGAGCTTAAGAATGAGGATGTTCTTGATGATTTTTCTTCTTCAAATCCTTCTTTCTTCGTCTAATAATTGGAGATTTTTGGTACCCAAGTTTCAATTCTGCTGTTATTGAGCCTTTCATTGGTGGTTCTTGGTTTTTTAATGTTCTTTCTTATTCAATCTGATTGTATTGCTCCTTGAGATTGTCATTTTCTAGTTTTGACTTTTTCTTTCTATTTTGCTCCTGGGGCTTGTATCCTAAACAATTTTCCTTTTCCTCAATCAATAAAAAGTTGTTTTTTGTTAAAAAGAAAAAAGGGGGGACCTTTCCACAACCTCCCATAAAAAATTCCTCTTTAAGCCACTTGTGTTTCTGTTTAATGTCAGATAGAATTTTGAAAAGGGGGATTGCACTCGAGATTGCAAGATTAAAGTATGCCTCCCTCCTTGAGAAAAATCCGTCTTCTTCGAAACTTTTAAAATATGAAAAGCAAAAGAAGGCAATTCCACCCAATTGGTCAAAGTCCTCAAGTTTATCTTCGTCACCGCTTACACCTATGAACAAAACATTTTACCCTTTGATTTTTTCCCTTCCCATCCGCAACCCTCAAGCTCAATGCACCCGCTCTGGGCATACCTCTCGCTAAAATCCCACTAAGATCATGGCATGAAGCTTTTTAACTAAAAAGCAATCATTTTTTTAAGAAAGATCTTTCATTCAAGAATGTAGGAATATAAATGAGAGGACAAAACATGGTCATAAAAGGCCAAGGAGCTTACACAATAAAAAACACCAATTGGCACAAATAATGAAATAGAATAATTATAAAAAAAATTAAAAAATAATTAAATAATTACAAAGAGAGCTCCAATTAGAGGAAGAGGACAGAATGATACCCTATCCCAATAACTGAAAAGCATCACCAGTAATTTCAATGTCTTAGAAGGTTCTATTTCCAATCAATAATCAACCATAATTCCCACAGAAGCCTTCACAAATTCTACTTTTTCCTTTGAACAGAGACCACCATAATGTTTTCTCTATGGTTTCTCTTATGGTTCTTGGAAAACACCACCGAAAATGGAAGCTTTATGGCAAGCATGCCACCACTTGAGAGTAAACTCACAGTTGGGAAGAGATGGACTGGACAATAGTTTCTACATGTTCCTTGCATAAAATGCACCAGCTAGGACATGTTAGGGTGAGATTATTGGACTTCGTCACTGCTATTGACTCCTCCCTGCCACGAAGACCATACAAAAGTTTTGGTTTTCTACAGGGTTTTACTGCTCCAGAATTCATTGCATAATGTGGTGGGGAAATCTCCACGTTTTTGCATCAAGAAACTTACTGTACTGCAGTCTAACTAAAGAAAATATGATAACTAACAGCAATCTTAACACGATATGAGATGACATTATGGCAATGTTCCACGACTTTTTCAAAAAAGGAATCATCAACGCTACCCTAAACGAGACCTATATTTGCCTCATCCCCAAACGGAGAGATGCCAAAACAGGACACGATTACAGACCCATAAGCTTCGTTCTATGTGCTTGCAAAATTCTTGCTCGGGTTCTCTCTGAACGGCTTAAGAAGGTCCTTCCCCTCACCATCACTGATCACCATTCTGCTTTCGTAGAAGGACGACAAATCCTTGATTCCTCTCTCATGGAAAACGAAATTATTGACGTATGGCTTGTTAGAAAAGATGAAGGGATCGTTTTTCAACTGGACCTCGAAAAGGCATTTGACATGGTTGACTGGGATTTCTTGGATATGGTTATGCACTACAAAGGTTTTGGGGTGACCTGGAGGAAATGGATATGAGCATGTATCTCCTCTACAAGTTTCTCCATCATCATCAACGGAAAGCCTAGGAGAACATTCACTGCAACGAGAGGTTTGAGACAAGGGGACCTATTGTCCCCCTTCCTCTTCATCATGGTTACGGATGTCCTAAGCCGGTTGCTTCTTCATGGAGAGCTCAAAGGCCTTTTAACAGGTTACACTTCTAGTTGTGGCTTGGTTCATATTAACCACCTTTTTACAGATGACACGCTCCTTTTTTCTAAAAAGGACCCAACACCATAAAAAGTCTTCACAAAGTCATAAAGTTCTTCGAGATGGCATCGGGTCTCAACATAAACTATAAAAAATCCAGCGTGTATGGCATCTCTACCTGTCCACAAATTACAAAACAGATCGTCAAGGATTGGGGCTGTGCATATGGGAGCTGGCCAAGTACCTATTTGGGTCTTCCTCTGAACGGTAACCCTAGAAGGGAGGCTTTCTGGAAGCCGATTATAGAAAGGATCCAAAACCGGCTTAGCAAATGGAGAAATCTATCCATTTCAAAAGGGGGAGACTCACCCTCACTAATCTGCCCATATACTATCTCTCCATCTTCAAATTATCCAGCAAAGCAGATGAACATATTGGCAAGGTATTCAGAGATTACAAATAGGAAGCCTCATCTCATCAGTTGGTCTCACCCCCAACTCCCAATTTGTGAAGGTGGCCTTGGTGTTGGGAACCTCAAACAAAGGAACCGAGTTCTACTTTCCAAATGGATTTGGAGATACATCACAGAACCAAACCAACTATGGAGAAAGCTCTAAATATACAGGGTCTTTCTCGTACACATGGCCAAGCATATGATCTAATGTTTACAAAGGCCCTTGGACTGGAATTTATCAACAAACCAGCTTTATCAAGAGGTTTGCTTTGTGTAGAGTTGGAGAAAACAGTCCAATTAGTTTCTGGAAGGACAGATGACTCAAGCGTGGAACCCTGGACTGCCTTTTCCCACACTTATACGCCATTTCGACCAACAAAGAGGCAGCCATCACAGACTTATGGACGAAAACATCTTCTTCATGGGATTATAATTTTCGTTGACCCCTTAAAGAGGAAGAGTTATCGGATTGGCTGCGTCTCTCCCACATCCTAAATGAAAACACTCCCACCTCCCAATCTGACAGATGGACTTGGCCTCTTGATGCAACCGGCTCCTTCTCCACCAAAAAGGCATTCGGCGCCCTCACTACCAATGCTTCCCAACCGGCCTCCACCCTCTCCCTCGCATATGGCAAGGAAAATGCCCCAAAAAGGTTAAGTTTTTTTGTTGGGAACTTAGTCATGGGGCGATAAATACCCAGGACAGGATCCAAAGAACACACCCACACATAGCTCTCTCTCCAAATTGCTGTCTTTTTTGTTTTGGGGCACAAGAGACTCAAGGCCATCTCTTTATCCACTGTTCATTTGCATCTCGTTTTTGGAACCACCTCCTCACTTCTTTTGGATGGAAGACAGCCCTTCACAACAAGCCATCTACCTTTCTTGAACAACTCTTGGTGGGACACCCATTCAAGAAGGAAAGAGTAACTTTATGGGTGCAGTTTGTTCGAGCTTTTCTGTGGAAATTATGGTTGGAGAGGAACAATAGGGTCTTTAATGACAAAGTCCTTCCTTTTGATATCTTTTTTGATAGAGTTATATACTAGCTCTTGGTTGATGTAAATGTTTCTACCCCTTTAATAGCTATTCACTAAATGCCCTTATTACAAGTTGGCAAGTTTTCTTGTAATTGTCTATATGGCTTTTTGTATATTTCATACCATCAATGAAATATTGTTTCTCATCAAAAAAAATCATAACACGATATGAGTATTAAACCATCACCCTCCTAGTACCCAGTAAGACTACAAGCAAAAGATGTTTAATATCAAAAGTAAGTTTTTAAACAGAATTCATGTAATGTGTTGCGTAATCAGTAATTACCTCTATCCCGACGTCCTTGCGAGACCCAAACACATCAAGTTCTTGGACAAATTTCAACAGGATCAAAACCTGTGGCATCCCTTTACACGTACAACTTCATCCACTTAACCTATCAAAAGTATTAACCACAATCAAATGGCAATTATAAGAGATATAATTAAAGGAAAATCATATAATCCTCTGCAACATAGCCATTCTGCATAGAGAAAAAAAGTGGCAAATAATATGAGGGTCAATTTGCAGAGTGGAAAGCTATTAGGACAACTTTAATACCGTAATGTTATCTCCATAAGAGCTAGATGCGAAACTAACAGACCAAATCCCCCTTCAAAATCCAAAAGAAACAGCCATGTCAAGTCCTTTTTATAACACAAGAAACTAATGATATCAAGATTGCTTGTAATTTTGTTTTCAATCTGTTGGTGATAGAAGATCCCCAATGTCTTACATTATAATAGTTCAAAAACCTGATTTACAATCGGCAATGGAGTGTGCAGTCCTCAAATCAAGCATAGGTTAATAGTTATGGTTATAATCTTATAGAGAAATCAAAGTAATAATTCTTTAAAGTTGGACTCTTCTTTGCAAAATAAATACATAGGAAGATAACATCTGGTCCCCTTTTTACATTGGCAACCAATAAAGTATTTGCCTCTTATTAAAAACCAATAATTGGCAACCAATAAAGTATTTGCCTCTTATTAAAAACCAATAAGCTGTATCAAGGTCACGTGAATGACAGATGAACATCCATCATACAGAACTTTCTGTTTTTCCTGCTGTAGAAGAAACTCCAAGACTACAGCATAAATAAGTTTCCAAAATATGAACACCTTATTGTGCCATTTGGGATGATGCAGCAGGCAGATGGTAAGTTCCGTTCCCCCAATTAATGACCCTTGGAGTTTCTACTACACTGTAAGAGAATAAGAGAAGCCAGAATGGAAGTGATCGTGCCATACCACACACCTATGTGTAATTGCAAATTTGCAAATGAAGATAACAATAGCAGCTTGAGTTTTAGCATACATCGCTCTTAGTGTCAAGCATCAAGATTTAGGAAAACACCATGATCATTTTAATAACTATGGACATTCAAGCTAGCTTTGTACACCTTGGTTAATTCAACAAGAATCTCGTCTGTCCTTACAACGTTTGGAGTCTGAAAACTCACCGGACTTCATCAACGCATCAGACAAAATGTGAGTCACCCATCCACCTATCTCTGAAACAATGGATGCTTTTGATTTTGTCAGTGCTTAAAACAATGTAGCCTTCTATGTAAATTCATATGAGAGAACATCATGAGATCAGTACCAACAAATGGCCAATCCCCAATTTCCAAGTCAATTATATGATGTTCTTCTTCTCATAATTCTCCAGTCTTCGTAACATCATCAGCATTGTCATAAAGACCTAAATATGGGCACGAGCATCACTAATAAGACTGCAAGTATAAGAGTCAGGAGTACAACCGTTCACTTTCATTGAGAGAAGCATCTCCTTCGCTTCTTCATGCCTACCTGACTTGCACAATGACTTGATAAAAATGTCATACGTATAAGTGTCAGGCTGTATACCCAATCTTAACATCAAATTGAAAAGCTTCTCAGCTTTATGAACTTTATTCATTCGAAAATAGCTTTGGATAAGGGCATTGAAGGAGAAACTATCGGGTTGTATACCATTGAGTTGCATTTTTCTCAAGAGTTGAGTAGATCTAGCAACATCTCCAATCGCACAAAAGGAATGAATTAATATGTTATATGTGATAGAATTTGGACTGAGACCCCACTCAACCATTTCAGTGAAACAACCAAAAGCATCCTCATACTTGTGTGCTTGACAGAGGCCATCAATTACTGAATTAAATGTGAAGATATCTGGTCTAAAACTACATTCTAATAGCATTTCAAGAAGTTCCTGAGCTTTATCCATATCTCCATTTCTGCAATACCCACCTATAAGAGTATTAAAAGTTACAATATTTGGAGAAATGCCTTTATACTGCAGACCACTGAAGATTTCTGATGCCTTGTCCATTAATTTGCCTTTGCAAAGGCAATCAATGATCATATTATATGAATATATGTTGGAAACAAGACCATCCTTTATAATCCAATCCATATATTGGTTCCCAATCTCCACTTTTCCCGCCTTGTACAGAGCTTCAATAAGTGCAAGATAAGTACTGAACCCTGGCTTGACACCTTTCTGTATACAAATATCAAATATATCACATGCTTCCTTCAGGTCTAGCTTCTTTAATACACATGCCATGGTGACATTGAAGGTTGAACTGCCCGGCACATAACCTTTCTCCCCAGTTCTACTCAAAAACATTGCAGCCTCACTGGCCATAGAATTCATTGAAAGACAGTAAAGAATATTGTCACAAACCAACTGAGATACGCCCTGTTTCTTCTCAACAAATTCCAATAAAAATTCAAACGCCTTATCCAGGGCAATACAACGGAAAACTCCGTGAACCAAGGATCTCATAGTAGCTGCATTCGGAACCACATTCCTCTCCTTCATTTTCTGTAAAACTCTGAAGGCTTCATCAGCCCTCTTGGCATTGAAAAATCCATCAATCAAGATTGTATATGTGAAAACATTTGGAAAATATCCCAATCCCTCCATTTGTTTGATCAAACGAAGCGCCTCGTCCACCACCCCGAGCCTACAAACACCATGGATGAGAATGTTATAAGTGAACCTATCAGGAACACAGTTATGAGACGGCATTTGTTGAAATTTCAAATAAGCCAAGTCTAATGAATTGGACTTGATTAATGCATCAATTACAGCATTGTACAGTCTCGTGCTGGGATTAAGACCCATAAACCCAATTTGCCCAAATACTTCAACACAGTATTTTGCCAAACCCAATCTACCCCAACTGCCAATTAATATGCAAAGCAGTTCCTCAGTCACTTTAAGACCAGACTCTTTAATTTCCTGAAGCAGATCAACAGATAACAACATCGGACGGTCAGGGCCTTTTCTGTAAAGGTTGCGGCCAAGGACTCCCCGAATCGCTTGTTTCTTTGCAAGTAATGGGTCGACGTTGGAAACCCAGATATAAAATCTTATGGCATTCAATGGGTTTTCTTGATTTTGCAAAATACTAACCACAAATTGAGGAGCTAAAACGATCCTGCTGGCCTTAAACTCGTGGTTTAACAAAAGAAGCCAGTCCTTGCTCGAAAGAACTCTAGAAATATATGAATGATCAATTGGTTCAAGACTCGAACTAAGTTTATCAGCAAGAGGAGAAGGATTGGGAAGCCGAACCAAGTTGGGATTTTTTAAATGGGTAATTAGTGGAGCAGGATTACCTCTTGAAGGGCTCTGCTTTGAAGTTCTCTGGATTGTATTCGAAGGGAATTGTCTCCGATTCTTGCTGGTCAGTCGATTTCTTAGTACAGGCGTTGCCCTGAAAGCCGAAGAAGGAAGCCCTCTCATGTCCTTCAGGAGCTCACCCGAAGGCTTGCTGCTCACTTCGTTTATAAATCTCGAACCGAATTCCCACTGATTTTTTATCTATGGAGAAAATGGATCTGTTGTTGGAAATTAGGATTCTGCTTCTCTTTTTTCCAGATAGAAGAATACAAGCATGGTAGAATTTGGAAGATTCTTAATTACATATTATACACTTATCTCTATTAATAAAACTCGTAAACTCATTTTATGTTTGTTAAAATTAAACAGATAAAAGATAAAATATAATGTATTGTAAATTACGTAATAATATAAAATTTATAAAAAATGTTAATAAATTAATTAATATAACTTTACAATTAAACTAAATATTTAGTTTGTAATTTCTTTTGGTTAGATCTCTAACGGGATTTTTTTTTAATAATGTTATTTTCGAAAGTAATTACAAAAATATGCCACTTCCTAAACTATTTCCAAAAATAATGTTAAGGCAAAAACAAAACAATTATTATATATATATAACACAACGTTTCAAGATAAAATGTATATTGTGGCACAGTGCTAAGAGATTTTTTTGATAAGTTAAAGGTCACGGGTTTGAATAGTGATACTTGAGTTGAAAAAAAAAACTCCAATATCACCACTCGAACCCATGACCTTTAATTTATAAAGCGATCTCTTATCCACTGCACTACAGTATTGATTTCATTTTAAAACATTGTATTATATATATATATAATAATAGTTTTGTTTTTGCTTAGAATAATATTATGAAGAGACGATCATGTGGGATTTTTGAAATCCCGCGATATATGTCGTCTCTTGAAGAGACTACCAAACCTTATTTTTTTAAAAAAATTAACGTGGCGGTTTGTAAGCGTCACGTTAGCTGGTCGTCTTTTCACGACCAGTATTTGCCACTTCAAGAGACGACCTGCTATTTCCAAAACATTATTTTTGGAAATAATTTGGGAGGTGGCATATTTTCGTAATTACTTTTGAAAATAGCACTATTAAAAAAAAATCCTCAATCAAACACATCTTTATTATCTTATTGCAAGAAAATTATAAAATACGATTTCAAAATGGCGCACGTACATTTGACGTCTATTTCTTTTTTAGCATATAGATTTAAATCCTACTTTTGTGTTGGCCTAACATAATTTCTATGAGCTTTCACTCATTTCGAACTCAGTTCATCGATCCTCTTGTGATCCTCTCGATTATTTTGTAGTTCGATTCAAACCCGTCTCAATCTTGAACACATCTAAAAAGTTCAATCTTCTTTTTCATTCTTCTTTTTTTCTTTACAATAACACATGGTCTTGTATGTGGATGGAGATTCGAAGTAAGATTTTTCTTAATCAAACAATATTTATGTTCGTGTTTAGTTCAATTTAAAATATTGTTAATTAACTTAATTTGATATACATTTGCCAATATATGAATTTAGTTCAATGATAATTAACACACGTCTTTGATTTAGAGATAATGAATTCGAATATCTCACCTCTAATTGTTGTACTGAAAAAAAAATATATACATTATACATTTTTAATAATTGCTATTTTATAATATTATTATGTTTCACCTGTTTTTATTTTTTTTTAAATGAAATAATTTAGAACAATGAAATAAAATAGTATATTGAATAGAAATTTTATCTTTCTTTTAATATGATTCTTCATCTGGAAGTCTCAAATTTAAAATCTAAAAATACAAAAAGTTGAAGTTTCACTGTTTGGATTATATAATCCAAAAATAGTCTAAAAAAAATATTAACAATTCAATAAATCTGAAAATAAGAAACGTGATACATATTTCATAGTAAATAAACCCTAGCAATCGAGAAAGAGCTCTTTTGATAGCACAAGATTATAATAATTGTGTTCCGTGCTTTTCTTCCATCTCACTTAAATGAATGGTTTCTATTGCGATATGGAGGATAAAACATCAATTTTTAGTATATTATATCCTCGTTGCCAAATATTTCACAAAACATTTATACTATCGCAACCCAAGGAGTTACAAATCTTTTTCTTGGTTTGCATCCTATCCCTATGGTTTATCAAATCTCTCCCACTAAAGCAAATTTCTCTCTCACTAAAGCAGCTTTGCAGTGTCGTTGTGTAGTTTAGTTAAATTTGAATCGTTTTATTTAATTATTAATTCCAATAAGAGTGTAAATGGTAAAATTAATGACGTGTCAAATATCATAGATTGACTTATTGGTCTAAAAAAGTCAAGGTAAATTAAAATAATTTAGAGGAAATTAATGACATGTCATTTCTCATTATTTTTTTTATTTATTTATTAAGTAAGAAATGTATACTCTAATTTAATAATTGTTTTTTTATTGAAAAATAAAACTAGAAACAGAAGTATGTGTGCTATTTCCTCTTTGTTTGTTTAAAAATTTTACATTAAACAAAACATGAAAATTATGCTTCAAGTATATAATATTGTAGATTAATATACTGATTTCTTTTTACACTCAATATGCTATTCTTTAAGTGAAAAAACAAAATAGTACTATTCTTAATATTTTAAGAAAACTGAAAACATATAAAGTAAGAAAAACAAAATTCAAATTTTATTCTTTTATAAATAATCTTTTATTTTTTATTTTAGGTGCACCGTGGGACACAACCTATAAGTTTAAGATATAAGTCAACAATCGCTAAACTATATTCGTATTGGTTTATATAAATAATTTTTAAAACTTGTATATTTTTAAAATGTCGTCAAGATATTCATTAATTGTTACTTAATAAATGGTTCATTTACACATTTCCATTCAACTAAGCATGGAAGAAAAAGACAAGTGCGCCCAAACAAATTAAAATTAAAAAAAAAAAAGGGCTCCCACTTGATTTTCATTTTCAATTATTATTTTCTAAACTGATGCACTAGGTCTCAATCTTCCTGCAAAAGAATGAACGATGAACAAAAATTAAAAAAAAATATATTAAAGAATGTATTTAATTATTTGTAATAGAAAAAATATTTATAACTGAAATTAAATTACTTTTTATGTATTTTCAATATGGTATATATTAATCTTTAAAACATTCATAACTTTTAAATTATATTAATCCTTAGTCTATGTTACACTATTTTTTTAAAATTAGATTAGGTGGGCACAATCCAAGAACTAATTAGACCCGATAAAATAGATGGATGAGTACTCAAGAAAATTCAATTAAAAAAAATAGATTTGAAATTGATACAAATTACGTTTTAGATTAAGTAACATATTGAGTACCTAAACTTTGGCTATCTTACTTATTTACAATTTAAACATTAAAAAGTTTCAATTACATTTGTGAGTTGTTGATTTTGATTATTTTTTTTACATAATAACTTAAATATTGATTTTGCACAACAATTTACTCGATTCAATTACATGCCTAATTAATCTCTGGCGCCACTTTATCTAAACTACAGATAATTTAAATTTCAAAGATTTATTAAAATTTTAAAAAGTTTAAAAACAAAATTAACTGTGAAATATTTATAATTTATATAAAACAGAATTTACCATTACAAGGTTGTCCTGTCCAGACGTGCAAGCAGGCTGCCGAGGAGGAAGCTGTTGGCGCTGGGTCCTCTGCCAATTATAAAATTAGTTTCCATCAATTAACATAATACTCTAATTAAATATGCAATAAAATAATATTAATTTAATGAATGGAATTTTTTTACGCGAAATTATTATTTATTACCTGTAATTTAGGTCGTAGAGTCTCAACCATTGCCATTGATTTTTTATGTACTCCAGGAGCCCCTTGCTGCAATTTCCATTTTAAAATAAACACGCACAAAATAAATAAAAATTTAAATTCAATGCTCAACTTATAATTTTTATTTTTAGTTTTTGGCAAAATGTATTTAGAGAAAAGATCATTTCTACCTCTTTATTTTACTTGTTTTCTTATACCTTTTACGGCTGGGCCAAGCCTTAATTACATTTGGGCCAGCCCAATTTTCTATCTTTCAGTTAAGAAATAAGATTGGGCCCAAGTTTTTATCTTCGGGTTTCAGAATCACCTTGGATAGGGCCCAGTCCGCTGAATCAAAGAAGGCTCGTTCGTTATCCTGCATCCAAACATCACTTTTAACTCCTCTTATTTTCCCACCAAAAAGAAATAATAATTTTCACTTTCCAAACCCCCCAAAAAAAAACCAAAAATTCCACAACAACCTTGATAATATATTAAAATTTTAATATAAAAATATATAACCTTTGAAATCAAGGGCTTCTTCCTTGGCACCAACCCTCCGTACTTCTTTCCCGTGGACATTGCCTATAAAATAATCAACCCAAAAAGAAAAAATCTCATAAATTAATTAATTAGCAAGTAAAGAGATAATTATTATAATTTCCAGGTTGGCAAACGGGTGTCGTTAAAAGGAGGAGACACGTGTACAGGGTTGAAAAACAGGGCTTCCACGTGATCGGGTTTTTGACAGCCCAACGACCCGATCCCAATACGACGTCGTGGTACGCGAACCGCCGACCCACGCCAGGACGCCGTTGGTGAAAAGAAAACGGAGTTCGACATATTTGTGCCGTTTTTTTCTGTCCTCTAGCCGTTGCAGATTCCGGGACCCACAAAAAAGAAAAAGGAGTTTTGAAGCTATAAGGAAACCGACATGTCGTCGAGATGGAAATGATCCGGTGGGGCTGAAACCCAGTCGGGATTGGGTACATCCGGTGTCGTGGCACCGTTTGATTGGAGAATAGAAGTCAAAGTCAACGGACATAATCAAACGGACGCCAAATATGTGTAATATGGTTTGTTTAAAGTAGAAATCAGACGGTTGGTTGAAGAGAGATTTAAAGAGTACCTCATGATCGTGAGATGCACAGAATCCCTCCCCACCATTGAATTCTGCCATATCTAGAGAGAGAGAAGTTAGAGAGAGAAATTTGAGCGAGAGATGAAGCAATGGGAGATTGAAGATGAAGAGATGAGGGGAAGGAGTGGAACTAGGCAAGCAATTTATAGAGAGTTTTGCCAAAAAAAAAATCAATTTAGAGAGAGAGAGAGAGAGATTGTGAACAATATAATAGCTTGAGGAGGGAGGAAAGGGAGAGATGAAAAAGAGAGGGAGAGAAGTGATACAAAAGTGAGAATAATGGGACCGATCTAGAGAGACGACATATATGAAAAGAGAGTTTCAAAAGGTATAATGGAAGGAGTGAGAGGGTAAGATAAGAATATATATATATAAAGAAAAAAAAAGATACCCTCGTCACTTCTACACGTATAACATATTTTTTTCTCACTTATATTCGAATCTGAACATAGGTCAATTGATTAAAATTAGAGGTTTGAATCTCCATCTAATAATAAATTTTATTCTGGTGTCTGATTAGGTTTGTATGTCGTTAATTCTAATACTCTAACATAGTACATTTATTGCATGACGAGTTGAAATTAAGTAGACATTTAGTATTTGAGCGTTGAGTTGAATGAATTAGTAGAGATTTATTAAACATGATATCGAAAGTCTTTGGAATATTTTTTTATAATTTTTTTAAAGAGGAATAACTCCAATGGAGAAAAAACAAATCAATTCTCATCACATTTTTCAATGCACCTACTTCCTCTGTGATTCACATTTTTTAATGCAAATTTTCTCTTTAAAATGTTTTTCCACCGTTGAAAATTAAAAGTGACATCCATTTATATGATTGAATTACGACAATATTTGAGATCAAATGAACCATATAATATTTTCTTGTTTTTTGTTGTTGTTTTTTTTTGGCCCTTTATGTAGGAAATATTGTTTCGTTTGCTATAAGGTTTAGGTTACTTATAACGGCGCTGTCAAAAAAAAAGTTACTGAAACGGCCGTCAGTTGGTCGAACGGAAACGCACGCCAGCTCGTGCTTCTCGCACGTGCCAGCCTTCTAGCCGTTACCGACAACGTTCAAAACCAACCCCCGTTACCACTTTCAACCTTTTACGAATTAAAAGGTTATTTTATAAATTTATAATGACGAAAACTATAACAAAATTCTGCCAAAAGCACACTTATCACAATTTTTTTCTTAATCGTATCCCAACAAAATATATTATAGAATATTCTTTTCTTTTTCCTGCAATTTCCATGGCTTTAGTTACAATAATTGGTGAACTCAACCAAAAAAATAAACATATAAATAAATAAAAAGTTTCAATAATTGGTGAAATGTGGAAGGAAAGATTCACGTGGGAACTTATTGAAAAATCATGATGATGGTGCATTTGAATTTATTAGGAAAAAAAAAACAAAGTGAATGGTTGAAAATTAAATATGATATATATAATACATGAACTAGTACTAAAATTAGACTTTCATATGTACTAACAAAAAAGAAAGCTGACATTCATGTATTGGAGTCATTATAGTATAGTTTTCACTTTTCATCTAGAGTTCTAATAATAATGTTTCTGTTTGTTGTATTCAAAAGTCAAAGTAAAATTTATATAAACCCAATCATTTATGGTTCATAATGTTATGATTTTTATTGGTTGTTTGTCGGTTTTTTGTTTTTTTCTTTCTTCTTTATTTTTTTCTTTTAGTAAAAAAATACAATTGCATTTGATAAGTGTTTATTATTTGGGACAACTAGAGGAATGACTATATTAAATAGTTCTACTTGAAAAATGACCAAAAGTATCTAATATAACAAAAATGGCTATGAGAGAGTTATACTTCAATACTAGAATTTAATATAGACAAATATACCTCCCACCAAAATAGCTAAATTATCCTACTATTATCCCTTAAATTTTGTGGCAAAAATATCCTCGAAACAACTTTTTACTATAGTTTACTTTTAGGAAATAAAATAGTGAATTAAAGTTCAAAATTTTCAAAAATAAAATCTAGATTTAGAAATTTCAAAATTTCAAAAACAAAATCGGTTAAATGAATGATTTGAAAAAA